AGCTTTCGCAACAATGAACAATCTGTCAAATTACATTCAATCACATTCTATTCTGAATCAAAATACGAGTGAAATTCCATTCAGCGCAATTCCGTTTAGCATTGAAACCAATTCCGCTATATCCGTTTTCAGTTGTGTTCTTATTCAATTTTGAAGCCTTATTCAGTTCTAAAGTAAGATTGAGATGAATGTTCATATTGATTCAGACACTTCCGTATCAGCAGTCAATCACCATATCGAACGAACCTCTGGATGAAGACGATGAAATTATTGGTACGTTTCTGGTGGATGACGTTGATTATCCTCGAAAATCTTAAGGAAATAAGATACTCAGTGTTAAATTTATCGCCACTTTTGTTACAGTCTCAGTCACCCTTTCCTCGGAATTGGAATAAATCATGGAATCAATTCAATGGGATCAGTTGTTGAGATTAATTCAGTAAACTGTGATATCTTGATGAAATACCATAGCTTATTGACTTGATCCCAACAACAGCGGGATTAATTCAATAAACTGTGGGGTTTCATCAAGAAATATTTGAATACTTGAAACTCATCATTCGAAAAGTTTCAAATGATAAACAACCATGAATTCTTATGACTTCACTCCATATCGTTTGATGAAGTGAATTTTGATCGATGTTAAATATTGAATTGCTCTAGAAGACAAATAAATCATTGTTTTAGGTCATCGTGGTTTCGAATACCCCTCAGGACCACCGCCGGCCTATTCGAGTGGTGAGCACACACCCGAGGAGAACCCGCTGATTGGCGAGGATGACGAGGACGTTGGCGCTCAGATTCAACCGCGATTTCATGGTACCGAAAATATGTTTCTACTTTTATTAGTGAGGACCTTCCTCGTTTTGAGAACAGTACGCTTGGTATGAGGGTGTCGGTAGCAGATCGTTACAGTTATGCGAACTCAATATGAGATAAAGCCGAAAAAAAGTCATCTGGTGAATTTTTTAAACAAATTATTTGGATACACAAGCTGAAATTCATTGAAAGTTGTAAAAACGTTAATGCATTCAATCATGCATTCAAACTGCGGCAGGAAAACGAATTGATACTTGATAAATTCAATTCAATAAAAGAATAGTGGTAGTGATAATAGAAAACGGAGTATATTGAGAACACGATTAACATAACGAAATATTTTTGGAATACGATTGCTCGCAGGTGATTTTGAGAGATTTCGTGCAAGATTTAGTCACAATCAAAACTTGAAGATTGAGGTAAGTGGTAAAGCTCGGGTAGCAACGGGAATGAGTGAAGAAGTGTCACCTTAATATGAAATCA